CATAAACGGACCCACTCAAAGGAGAGACCTTTCCAGTGCTCTGTGTGTGGTAAAGCATACAGATATGGGTACAGTTACAGATTGCATCTGAAAAACCATCTCGATTAGGGTCCATGATGTGTATCGGCATTTTTCGTAACAGTAAAAGTTAAAATTTTTATTCCTTCCTTAAAGGATGAATATTTCCTTATGTAAAGTGGAAAATGTGTTCTAGTATTTGATTTGAGAAGGCTTTTTGACTGAAATCATTTTTTATCTATGCTTTTTATGGTGGTTTGAAAGAATCATCCCATCCCCATGAATGATTTTGTTCCACTCTTGAAGAGTGTATAGTTTATTCCCGTAGATGTCCAGTAATTTATAATAGACAATGCTCTTGCTTATTACACATATTTAATGTTTTACAAGCGGCTTTCTGTAGCAAGCTTGCATTAAAATGAGAGGATTACAGACTTAAGTCTCGATTCTCTTTCTGACATCTTGTGTTTGAAGAAATGTTTCAGTTCAGAATAATTAAATGTTGCATAGAGAAGATATCACAAATTGGTATAGAATGAAGTGTGTATGATAAAGTAGCAACACTGTGAAAACAAACCTTTCTTGAGTGAAATAGTGATAGAATGATAATGGTTTGGAAATAACGGTAATTTCGCTATCGATGACCCATGTTCAGTACATGTACATGTCTATCTGTACTACCATTCAAAAAGTTGGGGTTGGTATTTTGGGGGATTTTTTTTAGTTCTTGAATGAATTCTCTAATGCTAACCAAGGCTAAATTTATTTCATAAAATTACAATAAAGCTACATTTTCAGCAGCCATTACTCCAGTCTTCAGTGTAGCATGATTCTTTAGAAATCATTCTAATATGCTGATTTGCTGCTCATTTCTTGAAAACAGTACATTTTATGAAACTGATACATTTTCTTAAAATTTTTTAATTACTAGAAAGTTCGAAAGAACAGCATTTTTTAAATTGGAAATCTGTAACATTGTCTTTTCTGTTAAGTTTGATCAATTCAATGCATCCTTGCTTAAAGTATTAATTTCTTGAAAAAAAAATCTTACTATCCCCAAATTTTTGAACATTATAAGTGAAAATGTTATCATTTACTCACTCTCATCTTGTTTCAGACCTGTTTGTCTTTTGTCAAACACAAAAGAAGTCATTTAGAAAAATACCTAATTGTTGGTTGGGGGGTTCCATACAATGAAAATCAATCTTCCAACTGACTTTCACTGTGTGGAGAAAAACAGTTTAATCATTCTTCAAAATATATATTTTTCGTGTTCCGCAGAGTAAAGGAAGTAATACAGGTTTGGAACAACATGAGGGTGTGTAAATGTTGGGGTGAGTTAGTCTTTTGCCATTTCTCCACCAGAGGGAGACCAAATGCTGCACATTCTGACCCCACCTGATTTTTGCTGAGCAAGCAAATGCCCAGTATGCAGCCAGTTTGATTGAACTATTCATATCAAAATGATGACAGCACAAATATTGCATTTTTTAAATATTAAAAATGTCATCTTTTGCAAATTAATAATTTTAGTATAAAGCCATCAGTAGCGTGTTGGATAACATGGATTTATACGGAATAAGAGGAAAGAGAATGTTCTGTGTGCGCTATGGTGGAAGTTCATGTAAGTGAATTACTAAAAGTGTAATTCACATGAATAATACCACTGATGCATATTTTTTACTTTTCTGAAATTTACTGATGACACACTACAACTGTTTGTGCTTGTGTGTTTGTATTTTTACAGTTTTGTCTATGGCGTGCCTTAAAAAGCCTGCAGCTGAGATTACAGATACACTGAGAGAAGAATATGAATCCATTGCTACCCCTGATTTGGAATCTGAGGTCTCTGATAGTGATGGCCCAGAATGCCACAGTGGCCCAGATTTGACAGAAGGTCAGAAAACTGTCCTCACAGACTTCGAGTTCTCATCTGAGGAATCTAGTGATGAGGAGAGTGAAGATCGCTTGAGTCGATGGAGCAAAGGAGACTCTTATTGGAGCAAATATCCTCCTCAAAGTGAAACCATTACATCCTCACAGAGCTGTCCAGGGCCTGCACCAGGGTCTTCAGTAGAGACACCTAAAGATGCCTGGGAACATTTCATGAGCGAAAACATCATTGGTGCGATCCTGCAATGCACCAACTTGGGTGGACTGAGAGCAGCATTAGCAAAAGGCAAAGTGTGGCAAAAGATGACTAAAGAAGAGCTAAAAGCCTTTATTGGTCTGAGCCTTCTCATTGGTGTGGAGAGAAGTTGTGATGTCCCAATCCGGGAACTGTTTATGGATCCGTTACAGAACCCACTATATAGAGCTACCATGTCTGTTGGTAGATATCAAGACCTTCACAGATTCCTGCAATTTGATAACAAGAAAACCAGAGTGGCCAGAGAGGCATCAGACCACATGGCAGCCTTCCGAAATGTGTGGGACCTGTTCCTGATCAACTGCAGGAAAAGGTTCATTCCTAGGGATTCTGTCACTGTGGGTGAGCAGCTTGTGCCATTCCAGGGAAGATGTAAGTTTCTGCAACACGTGCCAAGCTGCCCTACCAAGAGTGGCATAAAAATCTTTTGGACGTGCGATACCGAGGTCCCCTACGCCATTGATGGGGTCATCTACACAGGCAGACAGCCGGGAGAGGAGACTGAGGAGAACCTTGCAGAGAACACAGTCCTGAGGTTGTCCAATGGACTTCAGCAAAAAGGTAAACATTTTCAACAAAGAATCCTAAAAAAAAGATTACCACTAGTAGTATATTTTCCATTTGAGACGCTTTGGGTTAACTATCTTCCTTAAAAGCACACATAGTTTTATAGTTTACTTCTTGTAGGGATCAAACCAGCAGCCTTCTTGATACCAACCCTCAGCCACAAACACTGTGCCAGACCATCATTGCTGTTGTTACCTAATGACCTTGCCTTTTGTGTTTGTTTCTCATGATAGGTCTCAACATTACAATGGACAGCTACTTCACCAGTGTCCCTCTGGCAGAGAAGCTTTTCGAGAAAAGCTTGACCATGGTTGGGGCCCTTCGCCATAAGAATCCACATGTGCCGCCGATTATGAAGCCATCCAAGTTACGAGCACTACATACCTCTGAGTTTGGTTTTTGTGGCAAAGTATTCATGGTGAGCTATGTGCCAAAACTAAAAAAGGCAGTGATTCTGTTGAGTACAATGCATACCAGCGATGCGCTGAATGAAACGAGTGCTAAAAACAAGCCAGAGGTCATTCAGTACTACAACCGCACCAAAGGAGGAGTCACCAGTGTTAAGCTAATGGCTGAAAATTATACTTGCAAGCGTCAAACAAAGAGATGGCCTATGCTGCTTTGGTATAACATGTTGGATATTGCCATTGTAAACTCCTACTCCATTTTCATTGCTCAGCACCCTAGCTTCATGGGAGGTGGTCATAACACCCAGCGCTTGTTCATAAAAGAGCTAGTGAAAGAGCTTGTAATGCCTCAGATACATAGGCGAAGAGAAGAAAGCCCTGGATTATCCATGATCATCCTTGAGGCCATGGACAGATGTGGGATGCCCACATCATTGTCAGCTGTCTATTCCGAGCTCCAAGAACAGAGCTGTCAGAACAGAGTAAGAAAAAGATGTTATTACTGTCCATCTGGAAGAGACAGAAAAGTGAGCAAGTTCTGCAGTGAATGCAGTCGCCCTGTCTGCAAAGATCACAGTCACATGTTGGTGATTTGCTACCGGTGCATGCCTTAAGTCCCATACAGAAACAGTTTCTATATTTCTATTCTGCAGTGATAATGACTGTTCTGCTGACAAGTTTGATTTCTAAAGGAAATCACTGTTGTTTAAAAGATTTAGTGTGTATTGTAAATATGGTTTGAATTGATTGAATCTTTGATTAATTATCTTTAATTGACCGATGTAAATTTGACATCCATGTTTTAGCTATAATGTTAAATTCAAAGATATTTTTTCAGTTTTATGCATTAAACTTAAACATTTTGACTTATAAAAAATTGATTAGTTACTAAACATGTATACATTTATATGAATGCTGTGCATCTAATCAAATCCCAGATACATTCTTGGGGGTAATGTTACCTGTTCAATTTAGATCAGTCAGGTGAATGAAGTGTTGAAATGTGTCTGCAGAAAGGCAAGTGAGTATATTAACAACACCACAAGGTGAAGCACTAATCAGTTTGAGATTGTAGGCCAGAATACCTCAGGTGAGTTAATAAATTGTTGTTTTGTTGGTTTGCTGTGTAAGAATCCTTTAGATTATTTAAAAAACCCATCTGGTCCAGCAAAATGCAGCCTTTATTTTTCTGGGTGTATTTATTTCTTCTTCTTAGTGGGCCTTTTATTTTCTTTACCGCTTTTGGTTAAATATGATTGATTAAATTGAAAACAAATGTTCATTCAAAAACTAATACCTGATGTGATTGGTCTTTTTTCAGGTGTTTTTAAGGAACGTTTCCCTGGGATCTGTTTGTGGGTCATCACTTAAGAATCTCACCCCTGTTGTTAAATAAACAAACCCATTTGCTTACATCAGCCTATTGGTTTCCTTAAGGTGTTTAGTTTCACAAATACCACTAAACTCTTCCATGTGAACTGGTGTCAGTTAAGTTGTTTTTTAGGGGGGATTTTCTAAAGCGTTTTAGTGGTTTTCTTTACCCTTACATTAAGTATGGTAGTAAAATACTTAAAGTATCATTAAACTACACTATTTAAATGCTTATAAAATAGATTGTACTTTGCTATAACTGCTCTGTAGGACCTGCATTTTAGACATGATCTCGTTTAAAATAATTTTAAGCTATATGAAATCACGAACTAAGCTATTTTTCAAATAGTTGTGTTTTTAAATACGTTCCGTGATCAATATGAATATTCTGTTGAAATTAACTAGCCAATAATCAACAGGTTGTCGCTATACACAAGCCCGTATGTTAAACAGCGCGTGTTGATTGGCCGTGTGAGACAATGACGCGCGCAGACGCAACATGAATATTCAATGAGTTCCTTGCTGTTACAGTGCAAATAAAGCGAGATAACGGGCCGTGGGCAGCGGGCTAAAACTTTTTATTCTGACATATCAGAGCAATGACTTTTGTGTAATTATAAACCTGGGACACGGATCCCAGCGAAGGAATAGGGTCTGTGCTGGAAGAAGAGAGAGAAGCGCTGATTTTTTGGGTGTGGAAAACCGGACGGCGCATTCAGTTTGCCCTTTCCAAAAGTAACAGTGGAAGAGTGAAAGTTACAGTAACAACATGAGCTTGCTGTCTGCTATAGACACCAGTACCTCAGTGTACCAGCCTGCACAGCTTCTCAACTGGGTTTACCTTTCTTTACAAGACACGCATCAGACGAGTGCCTTCGATGCCTTCCGACCCGAGCCCAACTCTTCCCACCCGGACCTGAACTACAGCAAAACTCCTGCCAATGACCTGAGCTCCTCTCTCAACTCCAACTATCTCAACAACTTCTTTCAGCTACAGAGGAATGAGGTAACTCGTTTTCTGTTCTCCTACAGATGATTTTTTTGGGGGGGAAATAATTTCGTGGAGATAACGGTCCCTGCCGACTGGAATAAGATTTATTATGTAAAGCGCAGTTGACTATGTATCTAATGTAGCGCGCGTCTAGTCTGGATACATTTGTATAATACACAAATGCTTTAGGAGACTTACATAATCTTTTAATCTCTGGAAACTTGAAACAATAATTTTGTAATATTTTTTTCATTTCTATCGTGTAATAATAATGAATCGTATTTATATATTTTATTGCAATACTATGCAAAGAATGTATAGTTTCAAGGATCATTAAAATCGTGCCAGCGTGCAGCTTTGCACACTCTGTTTATTGTATTTTGTAACAGCACGTGTACAGCCAAATGAGGCAGTCATACATGAAAGTTTATTATTTTGATCATAAGACTACTTGCATTTAATTTGTGATGATTGCTTACTGATCTCTACAGGCCTAAAATGTGTGCTGCCATAATTGAGTTTGGGATAATCAAAAATGATGCTCATTTCTGAGGTTGTAATAGTTGCCGAAGACATATAACACTTCAATCTGTATTATTATTATCACATAAAGAAAGATGTTATTCAGTGATCCTCTCTGAATAACTAGATTTGATTGTATCAAAAAGTAGATTGTGCCAATTTATGAGAAGAAATTTTTAAGGAAAATTCATAAATTAGTATGTTTGTATTTAAGCGTTTTATAGTTCAAAAGTTATTTCAAGATTCAAGTGAGATTAATGTAGGCCTACTTTTGGGAACTACTTATACTGCTATATTTATATTTCCTGGAAATATTGTCATGAAACGGATAAGAAGAAACAAATATGGTTTTCACTTATCTTTAAAATAAGGAATGCTTTTCTAATTAAATATAATAGTTATGACAATTTGCATGGTAAAGGAGCGCACATGGAACTAAAAGTCTATTGAATCGTTTTGTACTCTTCCATTTATTTTTCTAAATGAGAGAGTTACTTCCAGAAGCTTCAACATATGAATGCATTTTCTTTTTAATGATGTAATGACAGTGTTGTGGCTGAGACAGAGGTAAAGTGTTGATGTTTAGTGGAAAGTTTGAGGAAGGGCAAAACTTTTTTAATAAAAACATTATGACAAGTTCTCTCTCTTTTTCCCCCTTTCTTTTTTTTTTCCTCTCTCTTTTTCTCATATGTGGAGGGTTAAGAATGCTTTAAAAAAAATTCCATATTACACAAAGAGCATTTTTTTCTTCCTCTGTGAGGCCAGAAATCAATCTGTTAAATATTTACAAGTAAGGAAGAAGGTTGGAACTAGAATTCTAGATTTTTTAATTATCTTTGTTTGTATAACTTACCAAATTGTCTACACGTTTCTTAGAAAGTGTTAACTGGGATTGTGTGTGTTAGTGGTGAATGGCAGTAGTTAGAAGTGACCCCCTGACTGGCTCTCCAGCTGTGTGAAGGGGTGAGGAGAGATGTCCTCCACTGGTGTAAATGTGTGTGAGAGCCGTATCCCTCAGGAGACACATAGCCAAATTCCTACAATCAGCTACAATCAATATTGCGGTTGCATTATTACATTGACAATCGATAATAAGTGTATGAATGCATTCAGACATAACAGCTGATCATCTTAATTTTTGTATTTTCATGATGTTTAAAAATTGACATTTAAAACATGGCTGTGCGGTTTGTTCGTTTTTTTGTTTACACAGAACTCCATAAATTTCCATTGCCTTTTCATATACTTCTTGTTGATCTTAGACTTCACTGCTGGTCATAACTCAGAATAACAGTGTAGCTGGATGCTTAGTTTCTCATGACACAACTTTTTATAGGCCTAATATTTTTGAAAATAAACACGTCTAAAGATTTCTAATTTCATGTAACTCATAATCTTTTGTCAGACACACTCCGTTCTAAGTTTTGAATTTAGCAGGAATTGGTTTGTGTGTTTCTCATGAATTTCTCTCACAGAGAATGAATATCAGCTGGATGTGACTGGCCAGGATGGAAAATGAACGTCACATGTACAGCTATAAAAGAAATATCTAAAAAGCTTATTTGTTGCATTCAGAGTTGATCTAACTGATGAAAACAGACTCGTCTGAGAGATACGTGCAGAAACTGTTTATTGTCGTGGCTTGCTGAGAACTATATGACAGTTATCTGGACTTGCCAAGTATAAAGTTTCAGGACTGTCCAACATGAGACTTCAACAATAACATAACCTTCCAAAGCATAACCAGAGGAAGACATCACTCAAGCAACATCTTCCCATCCAAACCGTCTGTAGCGTGTGTTTGATTATCTACTGTACTCTCTGTGGTTAAATGGCTATCTGATTTGCAAATCTTAGACTCATGTACTTATCAATGGCTTTAGTGAATTATGTTGCCCCAATTTAGGGAACTGATCCTGAATTAGGAATCTCATTTATTCGATAATATGCCTAATAGAGTAAAGTTCCACATAATTGAGGACATTTTTTTGATTATGCACTTAATCATATTTTACATTTTTCTTACAGCTTTAGCCTATAGACTGTATTTAAGAGCAGCATATTATGACATTGTATGAAGACATAGTGTGCTTCAGTTTTGTGTTCACATTGGGATAAGCTAATTTTTGGATTGTGGATGTCCTGTTATGCTTTGCAGGCCCTGAATAATGGTTTATACAAAAGTGTGTCACCGTACGGCTCTCTTAATAACATAGTGGACGGGCTGAACTCTCTAACGGACCACTTCTCCGACCTCTCCCTGTCCTCTGAGCCACGCAAGCCCAGCAAGAGACCTCCACCAAACTACCTGTGCCATCTCTGCTTCAACAAGGGACACTATATCAAAGACTGCCCGCAGGTAAGCAGCCAACGAACTCTGCGCACCCTGGGGAGATAGAAAGAGAGACATGTTGCTTCATTGACCTACTTGTCAAACAGACATCTCTCTGTCTTTTTAGTCATGTGTATCAAGTTATTTCAGAGAGCTACTGTGCTGAGCATTGAGAGGTTACACCAGGCCACTGAGCAATCTTTTTTTAAACATGAATATCATCTGATTTTCTTTCTTTTTTTTTAAATCGAACTTTCTCTGGCATCTGACAGTGACATTAGTCGATAATAACAAAAACATTAACATCAGAGATATCACACATAAAATGTGTTCTGCAGGAAATGAGGCATACAGTCATTTTCAGAAATAGTCTCTTAGCCACGTGTTTCGCAGGTGATATTAGCCGTTGTTGTTCTAGCAAATGTAACTAAAAGCTTCATAAAGCAGTGGTTTTGTGTAGATGCATGAAAATATGTTTACAAAGCAACACATTTAAACAAATGGTCAAATTAATGTAGTATGAATGGACTTAGTGAGAAAAGAAATGCTGCAAAAGTCAGAGATGCCGGAGTGAGAATGTTTTGCCCTCGAGGTAAACAGGTGACAAGTTTGTGATTTAAATTCACTTATGTGCTTAAATGCACTTTTTTGTACTAGGAAAACCATAGGAAATAATGAGAAACCACTCCCTGACCTTTAATTGTCTTGTTTCGATTATTGCAACAGCATTCTCAGAACGATGTTTATCCTCAGGACAAGGAACAAATATGTCCAAGCTTCTTTAAAAACTATTTTAGTTTCAGTTTTTAAACACAAATTGGTAGTTTTAATGTAGAGCACTGTTTGTTCCTGAGTTTTTCCTTGTCTTATCTTTCGCTTTCTTAATTCCAATACTGATTTCAGAAATACAAAATAGTGTTAAACTTGCAAAAGTTCCAGAAACAAAGATAAAATACAAGTGTTTGTGAAGGAGAGAGTGTCATCTTTAATTTGAAGCCTTTAGTGTTTTATAGTCTTTGGACATTGAGACAGGGTGAGGTTCTTGTTCAGGCCCAGACTCAAGTCAGAGCTGCATGGAATGGTAATGCAGACCAGATGTGGGATTAAGTGGCAAACCTCCCTTTATGAAAGATGATGAGGGTTCCCTGCAGACTGCTAAAAGTCCTATCATGATAAAATATCTCCACCTCTTTGTGCACGGCTCAGGTAATTTACAGACTTTTCCTTTGACGTTGTCAACATGGTGCACTGAAATACACTGATGTTTGTTTTTATAAGGGCGTTTGCTGTTCCTGATGGGTGATGGAAAATATTGCTCATGTGCCATTAGGCCTATAACAGATTGGACTGAATTTGTATCAGTGTTATGATGTAATTGTGGATTAATTGTCATATTTGTATTTGTATTTGTATTTGTATTGTCTCATGGTCATATTATGTTGACTGTGATATGTTCAAAATAAATATTGTTCTAGAGCAGATTTACAGTTAACTTTAACAGTCCTAAAAACTACATAATGAAAATATGAAATTTCCTCTCAAATTTTCTTTGCTTTGAAAGTCTGAAAACCCCTGGTCTATAGGAATCTGCACAATGGGGTTCACTACATTGGTATCACCGTCTCATGTTAAACAGCTTAGAGAAACAAATACTAAAAGAACAAATGCTGAGTTTTATTAGGACAAAACACCGCAGGCTATAATACTAGTCTGAGACCAGTCAGTAAATCACTGTCAGAACTGTCCTGTTTTAAATTTCAGTTGCTTGTGTGAATGCCAGTGGAAACACAAGAAAAGTCCTGTCCCCCGATAGTGTCCACACCTACTCAATTCAACACTGCTGCAATTTACCTCCCCCTGGGGTCTCACTTTCTGTGATTTACTTTCCATTTGTCATATGCCGCATCCACGTATTTACTCATCCGCACATAGCGATTCGCCCTCGATTCCTGCCCAGTAAGGACAGTTGAAAATGATGAACGTGGTGAGTCTGATCTTGTCTCAGAGGAAATGAATTCCTGGGTAAGCTGGTCCCCACTAAAGGTTTGTCATGTCCAGAGGACTACATACTCCCTGCCAACACAAACACTGAGGATTTGACTTCACAGGGCACAGCGGGACCTATGATCTAAAGCCAGCGCTGAGAATCACATTCTCATGCGTTCTCCCAGCACACCGTCTAGGTCTCCATTAATTTCCCAGCAGACGAGGTGCAATGGGCCAAGCTCCCCAGTCAGGGCAGGGGCCGAGTTTCAAAACACAGCCGTCCCGGGGACTGAAGCTGACTGTGGCGGGGGTGTCTCGGCCAGATAGGAATTGGGGAATGTCATGGCTCGGTTGGAGCAGAGCGTGGGGGCAGGAAGCGTGGTGGTTATGTCTTCTGGTGTGTGTGGTTCAGACTCAAATGTGTCACCTAGGGGAAGTGGTTCTGGCCCTAGTAAAGCTCCACAGGGAGCGCTAGTTAGAAAAGAACACCATTGAGCAGGCAGCTGTTTGAGCAACTCTGCTCTGCCCAGGGGCAGCTAGTGAGAGTTATGTAAACAAGCTCGACTAAACGGGGGAACAGTTTTGCCCTGTCATTCATTACCCAGAATTCCCGAGACCTCGAAAAGCTGTGGCCCAGTTCTACTTGTTTATATTATGCCAGTCGAATATCTGATTGTTTCAGCCGATGAGGCTCAATCTACCCCTCATACAGAGGTGTGGTGGGATTTCCTCTTGGAAAATGTGTGCGCTGGAATGCGGCTATAGAACTGTAAGAGCCATGCATGTAAGCTCAGCTCGTGAGTCATGTCCTCTGCAATGCATCCCTATTGCCAATGCCCTTTTTTGTGTCACAGTCTCATAGTGACACTGGATGTCATTCACTGTGAGTATTCTGACTCCCACCCTCACCCCATCAATGTGAGTCTTGTTAGGAAATTGTCGAAACATGGTACATACAGGATGCAGAAAAGAATGCCTTTTGTTGTACGAAGAAATTACTACAGGGTCACAATCATGTTTTTGTCTCCTACTTACATTTACCCTGCTTGATGTGTTGTGTTAGTGGCACTGTGCAACAAATGGGATGTTGGATGTTTTGAGTTTTTGTTGTTAAAAACATACTAGAAAACTTTAATCACGCAGAACGTACTGCCATTGTTCGTTATTTCACTTTTTTTTATTTTAATCATAGTCTTTTCTTTTGAGAAGTTAGAAAATGTTATTAATATTAAATATCTCTTTAAAGGGGTCATATGATGTTGCTAAAAAGAACATTATTTTGTGTATTTGCTGTAATGAAATGTGTTTATGCGGTTTAAGGTTCAAAAAACACATTATTTTCCACATACTGTACATTATTGTTTCTCCTCTATGCCCCGCCTTTCTGAAACGCATCGATTTTTACAAAGCTCATCGGTCTGAAAAGCGAGGAG